GGGTTACCGGAAGGATAACGATGTGAGTGTGTGCCAGTTTATGGTCGAGACCTCGGTGGAGGTGGGGATGAGTTGAGTCGTCCGATATTGGTGATGGAAGGAATGGGTAACGGTGTGAGTGGGTGGCCAGTTGGGGTCGAGTAGTAATAAAAAAAATATAGAGTCGCCGATATTGGTGATGGCTAGGGGTCTGATCTGGGAGAAATAGTGTGAGTGTGTCGTCGGGTTAGGGTCGAGTGGACAGGTACATCAGATATGTGGGGAAATGTTGGGGTGACCTATTGTGGTGACTTCACGTGGTAAGACGTGAAAATGGTTGACAATTTTTCTTCGAGGAGATGTTGTAATTATAGCAAGGGGTAGGTGAGTAAGAGGAGAAGAGTGTGAGTAGGAGGAATGGCGTGACTAATGGAAGTTGGGACCTAGGAGAGTAGACGTTTAACTAGATTTTCATGCTATGTTTATGATTTGAATTTACTTTAATGAATTTGTGTATACTCATTAACTATTATTTACAGATGATGTAGCATCGGAAACTGGACCAGAGCTGTGTTTTTACGATCTTAGCGAGTAGAGGAGACGGAACAGGAAGTATAGATAATGAAACGGAATACTCATATAGTTAGTAGAAAATAGCTCATGTTGAAATGAAAATTTGTGAAATTGTAATTTACAGTTGATGAACATACAATGAAGTAACTTTAAAATTTTGAATAATTTGATTTGAACCTTTTCTATGTGGTATGATCGATTGGTTACGGAATGATATATGTTATGCTACGTGTACTAACATGATCGTTGTAACGCTACTGAGGCTAAATTCGGAGCGTTATAGTCTCTCTACTTTGAAATAATTTATTCTTAATTTTATTTAATTCAATAAATTTTAACTTGAAGGTAGAAGAGAGAACGTAGAAGTAATTTAATTATAAGAATAAATGAGTTAATTAATGTCCCAAAAAAGCCAAATTCCAGCACAAATTGGAGAAATTAATTTTTATTTAAAATAAATGAGTTAAAATTATTTTTTTTGTATTAAAAATAATAATAATAATAATAAAGAATAACGGCCGGAGAGTAGAAAGTTTCAGTTGGGAGAGAAGGACAATTCCTTAATAGAAAGACAAAGGAAGGAATAGTTGAGGGAAGTTAGTTGTAGGGACGCACCTCCCCCCGACCCCACATCCTTAGGGATGATCAAATTGGATAAATCACAGCCGTTGGATCTAAAACTGCCGTAAGATCCTCAGTTCGATACACGTGCTACTCTCTCTTTCTCTCTTTTACTTCTTTTAAATCTTTGCTTCCATGCATGGATTTCTCCTCCAAATAAAATTAATTAAATATTAATTAATTACCGTTTAGAGAGAGAAGAAAAAGAAACTCTCACTCGACTCTTTCTGCTTTAATTTTTTCTTCTTTGGCTTTGTTCATCGCCATCATTAGCAACAAAGGTACTCTTCAATTTTTCCTTTTTTTTTTTTATTAAAAAAACAAATCTTTCCATCAAATTTCAACTACCAATGAAGCTGTGTATTCAGAGATAAGCTAGCTAAGTACACACTCATCATCACTCTCTCTTTTCTACACTTCTTTGGTGGGGATCAGATCTTGTTCTTCGTTCTGCAAAATTCAGAATAGGGTTGATTCTTGTTCAGTCTTTGTTTACTCATTGCAAGAAAACCCATGATCTGATAAATCGGTTTCTTTAAATTTCTGCCTTGATTTTCTGATCTGGGTTCCTCTGTTTCATCACCATTTTCCTTTCAATGAAGATCAAGAATTGTTAATTTCAGTTTTACCTTTCTGTTTGTCTGTTTTCTCTCTTACCCTTCTTTAAGAAAATATAGATTTCTAATCAGCAAGAAATGGAAGAAGATCAAGAAATGTTGAAACATTCATGTAAGTTCTGCAACAAGAGCTTTCCCTGTGGTAGATCCTTGGGGGGTCACATGAGGTCTCACATGAATAATGAAGATAAAGATTTCGCCAAGCAGAAGCTCTCTCATGATAATCCCAAAATCAAGAAAAGTAGCGTCACTGAGATTTCCAGCTTCGGAGCCGGAAGTAATTCTGGTTATGTCCTCAGAGAAAATCCAAAGAAGACATGGCGACTTACAGATCATTCAAGTGAAGAAACTTCAGTTCATCTCCTCCATGATAAGTTCTGCAGAGAGTGTGGGAAAGGTTTCCAGTCGTGGAAAGCACTGTTTGGTCACATGAAATGTCACTCAGAAAAAGAGAAACTTTCCATTAATGGGGGTGATAATACTAGTTTGGATGGTGGAGAACAGGAATCTTGGGCTAGTGCTAACCAGAAGCTTGTCATGGACAGCCAATCCGACAACGAAGCTGCTGGACCACCAAGTCGAAGTAGGAGATCAAAGAGGAGAATCGGCACTGCTGCAAATTCTTCTTCTGTGTCCGAAGTTGAACAAGAACAAGAAGAAGTTGCCATGTGCTTGATGATGCTTTCAAGAGATGTGAGCAATTGGGCTGGGTTGAATTCTGTTGCAGAGTCTTCTGATAACAATTCTGTGTTCTTGGAAACTAAATTGATCAGTGGTAATGGAGATGAGAAGTTGAAGAAGAAGGTAAACCAGAAAGTAATGGAGTCAAGCACCGTGGAATATTCTGCTTCTGGGTTTTCAAGAATAGAGTCTAGAATCAACAGAAATCAAATTTCTAGCGATGGGTTTTCCAAGATTGATGAGAAAATTAGAAAGAGAAGTGGATTAGGATTAGGCCAAGTTGAAGCTCAATTGGGTTGCAGTGCCAAGAAAAGCTTTCTTGATTTTGCTGCTGCTGATGATGATGATGGTGGTGATGGTGATGATGATCATTATCCAGATTCTTTGAAAAAATCAACAAGTGATCATGATGTTTCTGATTCTGAACTGTTAATCTTCAAGGATTCAAAGAAGAGAAGCAAATTCAAGTGTACTACTTGTGACAAGATCTTCCAGTCTTACCAAGCTTTAGGAGGCCACAGAGCTAGCCATAAAAAAACCAGAGGCTGCTTTTCTTCGACAATTGACACCAATGAGAACACCATTAATGAAACTCATCATCACCTTCATCATCATTATCAGCAGCAGCAGAAGCAGCAGGAGCTTTCTCCCATCAAGTCAACCAGAAAAGAGACTAAAACCCATCAGTCAGTTCCCAACTTCGAAGAAAACAACAAGGCTAAAACAAAGAAAAGCAAAGGACATGAGTGCCCAATTTGTCTCAAAGTATTCCAATCAGGACAGGCTTTAGGGGGTCACAAGAGATCTCATTTACTTGTTGGCACAGAGACAAAATCCAACCAAACAATTGTGATTGAGCAAAAACCAGCACCCAAAATTCGGGAGTTTCTCGATTTGAATCTTCCTGCTCCGGTTGAAGATGAGACCGGTAATAACAATAATGCTCATGCTGGATTTGAGCAATGGTGGATGAGAAGCAGCCACAAACTTGGGTTGATCTCAAACTGATTCAAGTTCAATTCATCATAGTTCATGATTTTTTTTTTTTTTTTCTCCATAGTTTTTTTCCTTTTTCCCAATAAAAAGTTTGAACAAGTTCTGTACAGACAGCTTTTTCTGCAGATCGTTATTTCATTCATTCTTTTACAGATTCAAGAATTCATCACCAAAGGGGATAATATTGCTGCTTATTGTCATCTCAAGAATCAAGTCTTCAATTTTCAATCTTCATTTTTCAGTTTTCTAAGTCTTTATTGATGAAAACTCTCAAGAATCTGAGTTGAGGAATTCTCATGTTGTTTCTTTTTAACCCAATTGAAATATGTATTTTTCCAAGTGAAAAAGAAAAAAAGCAATCTGTTATATGTTATTTTCTTGGTATGGAATTAGAGAAAATTGACAAGGAAGTGTACTTGAAGCTTTGATCATATGGGTTTAAAGCTATCTTGTAACACATTCTAATGTACATATTCGAACCCAATTCGATTAAAAGTACATTTTAAAAAATAGTTCAAAAAATTTAGTCTCTGATATGTAAATTGGTTTATATATATATATATATATTTTTTTTTTAAAAAAAGAAGAGTATTTGGAGTGGGGTGTAAAGAAGTGAGTGAGTGGCAAGGGGGGGAAATAAAAGCAAAAAATTTTTATAATGTACACAAGGAAGGCATGTGAGAGAGGTGAAGGTGGTTGTTTAGTCACCCACCATAAAACATGACAACCCATCTCCCTTCTTTTCTTTCTCAAACTCATTTGTGGAGTGAGTGAGTAACTACTAGTTAGTTTAACTTTTAGTGCTACTAAGACTATAAGTTAGCCTCTTCCTCTTATATATATATATATAATATTATGTATCATTATTATTATATATTTCTTTACAGCTTCAATATTGGATTGGACCACTTTTCCAATTTTATTTCAAACGTTTGTTATTTAATATGGTTAAAGTTCCAAATTCATAGATAATTTTTTCTTAACTATTTTTAATAATTACATATGGAGTTATCTAGATAGCATTTGGTTACATTTGAATTTTAATCAGAATCGTGTTATCAGATTCTATCTCTATTTATAATTTTTTTGTAATCACGTGAACGAATTTAAAAAAATTATTAAGTGCTTTAAATTTTATAAGTATAGATTAAAGTAAAAATCTTATTAAGTATTATTCATACACTTTAAATTTATTTTTTTATAATCTTTTAAATAAAAATTCAAAATAAATTAATTGTATTTATATTAAACTATTTGTACTTTAACGAACAGTGAATTTATCTTAAACCAAGTTTATATAATTTACTAACAATCTTTTTTAATTTAAGTATATACAGAATTTAATTTTAAATTTTTCTATAAATGATAATTATTTTATTTCGAGCACAACTTAATATATGTTCTATAATCAAATTCTTTTGAACTTTATTTAGTCATACGAGCATAACGAGGTACAAGAGATTTATATCAACTAAAAATATTTACAAAATTAAAACGGATTATTTATTTATTTATTTATTATAATCCGTTTTTATTAGTTTGTTTTATGAAAATGAGTGTACAATTTATGATTCGAATGTATATTTTTATAAAAAGTTGTAAAATTATTAACTATTCAAATAATGAACTATTTATTAATCCAATAGAATCATAATATATGGTTTGGAAAATTTGTGTCCAAGATATATGACTTATGAAAGGTGCTTAGGTTATGGTTAGGTTGAAAATTGATGGGATGAGGTATTTATATAAACTGCTTATGACTAGTCCTTATCTCACCTTATGAACATGATATAATTAAATTTAGTGGGATCACGACTTGTAAGTATCATCTTACATATTTTAAGTTAAAGAACAAAAAAAAAAAAAAAAAGAAAAGAAATCAACTCCCAGATCTGTGAACCATTTCTTCTTTTTTTTTTTTGTTTTCCTTTCAAT